AGGTCACAGGAGCTGCTTCCTGGGGGAGGGGAGGTCATGGGCTCCATCACCGATCGGAAGGCATGCTCCTGTGCTTCAGCACATGCCTTTCCGAGACACGCACGGAAGTGGTTTCTTCGGCAGGGGAGAAGCTGGGAATACTGAGCTTCCCCCTTTCATCACAGCCAGGCACTGGGCTGACGCTGACGCCTAATTCAGGCGCCTTCCACAGAGCATTTCCACAGGCCTCCGAGCTTCGCAGCAAGCCGGGGGGGGGCGGGGGGGCCACCCTATCATCCCAGCTGACAGACGAGGACAGTGAGGCCAGGAGAGGTAGCAGCCTTCCCAAGGTCACATCTCTTTTTAAAAAAATATCTTTATTGATTTCAGAGAGGAGGGGAGAGGGACAGAGAGAGAAGCATCGATGATGAGAGAGGATCACTGATCGGCTGCCCACTGGGGATGGAGCCCACAACCCGGGCCTGTGCCCTGACTGGGAATCGAACCGTGACCTGGTTCGTAGGTCCACACTCAACCACTGAGCCACGCCGGCCGGCCAAGGCCACATACCTTACAAGTGGCTAGGAACCCACGTCTGGGATTCCTGCTGGACCATAACTACTCAGCATGGAAGGGGCCTGTAGAGAACCAAAGTTCTAGTCCCACCTCACTAACTCTCTTTGCAATTTTAAGTCACTTAATCTTCCAGAGTCTCCACGTCCTTAACTATGAAATAAAAATAGTAATATCTCCTACCAAGGATATAATAGGGATATTGTGAATATTGAGATAATTAACTTAAAGGTGTTTTAAGAGATCAACCAATGAAGTTGTATGCATATATGCATAACCCATGGACACAGACAATGGGGAGGTAAGGGCCTGAGGGCAGGGGGTGGACAGGAGTGGGCTGGAAGAGGTTAATGGGGAAGGGGGGAGGAGAACCTATATAATACTTTCAACAATAAAGATTTATTTTAAAAAAGAAAAAAAAGTGTTTTGCCCTGCCCCTGGCTGGTGTTTCTCAGTGGTTAGAGTGCTGGCCTGTCCACTAAAAGGTGGGAGTTTGATTCCCAGTCAAGGGCATATACCTGGGTTGCAGGTTCAATCATGGCGTGGGTGGGGCATGTGCGGGAGGCAACCAATCGATGTGTCTCTCTCACATTTGATGTTTCTCTCTCTGTGTGACCCTCCCTCCCTCTCTTCCTTCCACTCTTTCTAAAAAAAATCAATGGGGAAAAAAAGTATTTTGCTCTGGCTGGTGTGGCTCAGTTGGTTGGAGCATAGTCCCATTCACTGAAGGGTTGCAAGTTTGATTCCTAGTCAGGGCACATATCTAGGTTGTGGGTTCGATCCCCAGTTGGGGCACGTACAGGAGGGAACCAATCCATGTTTCTCTCACCTGTTTTCCTCTCTCCTCCTCTCTCTCTAAAATCAATAAAAACATAGCCTCAGCTGAGGAAATTTTTTTTTTAAGTTTAAAAAAGTGTTTGAAAACCAAGAAACGTCACATATAATTAGGGGAGACTGGTGAGAAATCCTTACCTCGAAAAGATGGAACTCCCTCTCTCCACACCCCTTGCTTTTTCCCCTCTCTGCCTACCTGCAATTACTTTCTGCCCTTTAGAGAAAGAGAGAGATTCGAGTGAAAAGAGGAGTTAGAGAGAGGACAGAGGGCAGAGAAAGGGGCAAGGCTGCGAGTCAGCAGAAGGGACAGCAGAGCAAAACGGGGCTGGCAAGGGCAGAGGCCTGAAGGACCAGGTGAGGGTGCCAGTTTTTACTGGTGGTTGAAGCGACCAGGGAGCTGGGCCATCTTACTACCTTTCCTTTTCATCTTCATTTCTCCTTAAAACTGCAGAAATGAGAAGGCTAAGGAAATAACAGCTGCCCCTCATTTTGCCCAGAGCTGGTCTCAGAGCTGAGAGAGGCTGCTTAGGGACAGGGTGCTGAGCAGGGAGCCCACGTGCCTCCGTTTCCATTGGCTCGTGCCCTGTGACCTCTGGGTCGCTCCCTGGAGTGAGGGCAGGGAATTCTGAGACCTGGAGATCTATTCTTCACCCTCAGAGAACAGCGTCCCAGCTTCACTCCCCACCCACACCATCCTAGCCCGCTTGGCCCAGGGCAGGAGCTGTGGGGGGTGGTCAGGGTGCAGAGCGCTCAGAGCCCCAGACCTCACCCAGATGTCCCGAGGGGGAGGTTAAGAGAGAGAAAACAACTGTGAGCAAAAGAGGGGGCTTCGCAGTAAGTCTGACAAGCTCAGGGGGTCACGAGGCAGGCCTGACAGCTCAGTGACTAAGAGGAACTTCACAGGCCGATCTGGCCATAAATCCCCTACCTGGGCAGGCGTTGGTGACTCTCCCTACGTGAGCCCTGTCCACTGTTATGCATCGCACGCAGGGTAGCACCTCAGAAACAGATGCTAGGAGGATCCGCTTTTTCAGACCCCGAAGGCTCCCAAAGTCCTCGTTGTGATCTTGTTGCCATTTCTACGCACTGTAAATGTTAAATTCCAGAGACTTCCACTTCCCTCATGTAACCCTCCTTTGGTCTCTCTCCTTTGATTCTAAATGCATGAAAAGACCGAAACATTTTCTCAATTTGTTGAGATCCTGCTTCTGGGCAAGTCCTCAGTTTCAGTAAACTCCTATAGATTTTTTCTATAGGTGTGGACATTCGTATGTTGACAGAAAAATGCATGGAGAGCTGTAAAACCTGACTTCTGGGCCCAACGCTACCACTTATTAGCTGTGTGACATGGGTCAAGTTACTCAACTTCCCTGGGCCTCAATTTTTATATTAGTAACAGGGGATGTCATCTATCCTGACAAACCATCACCCTCCCTGCTGTGAAGGCTTCGGCAAGAATGGAGTAAGATTCAGGAAGGAGAACATCTTTAAAGATTAGCAGTGTTGCCTGGCCCGTGTGCTCAGTGGTTGAGCATCATCTCACGCACCAGGGGGTCCCTGGTTCAATTCCTGGTCAGGGCACATGCCCGGGGTTTCGGGCTTGATCCCCAGTGTGGGGTGTGCAGGAGGCAGCCGATGGATGTTTCTCTCATTGATGTTTCTATATCGCTCTCCCTCTCCCTTCATCTCTGAAATCAATAAAAACATATTTTTAAAAACTAGCAGTGTTCTAGAGGTACAAGGATATTTGCTAAACACTGAGAACACACACACACACACACACACACACCCCCTCATGCGGGCCCTCAAAGGCAAGAATCCTCCCTAAAAATAAAGAAAACTCCTCAGTGACCAGAGGGCATAGTAGCCACCGAGAGGAGGAAAGCGTCAGTGACCACGGAAACCTAGTGCCTCCCAGAGCTCCCACGTGGGGAGACCCGACCCCGGCACCTCCACTAAGTGAGGGGCTGAGGTTTCCGTGTGCCCACGGGGCAGGCTTCGCAGAGGGGACACCCAGGCCTCCTGCTCATTGCGGGGCGCGGGGGGCCCCAGCTTCCCGCCACCTGCCTCCCCCCCCGCCCCCCGCAGGTCCCCCTTCTCCCTACCGCGCCTTCGCCAGCAGGGCCCCTCGCGCACGGAGTAGGACAGCTCCACGAACTCCACGTCCACGGCCGAGCGCTTGGGGAGGTGGGAGAAGCGCTGCGCCTCGGTGATGTGGTTCTCCACCTTCTTCAGGGGCGCGGTCAGCA